GACGGATTAGTTTTCTCATAGTAAGACATGACTGTAGTGTTGTAGTGGGAGGGGGCGGAGGTGGGGTGTAAATGCGTGCATACGCGTGCACATGCATGCTAGATTATAGACAGGTGTGTAAGGGATCCGTGCAAGAGTCTCTCCGAATCATCTGATACTGTATACCCATAAATTCAATATTTGACAATAAGTAATTCTCTGACATTATTTTTTGTTGAGGAAGCATGAGATTGTATGACAAGAGATAGAGTGAAGATTTAAATTGCCTGTTTAATTGCATGGCTGGTATTGTAACTTACGCAGCCTGCTGAGGCATGTAAGGCTTATTGAAAAGCTACCAAGGGTAAAGTAAGTCCTCGTTGTTTTGGTCGCTTGTAATTGACAGCATGGAGTGTGAGGAAACAGCACCAGACTTGGGACAGGAAGCACTGAGCTTGAGACATCGTTCTGCACTTGCCTGGCTTTGTGACGTCAGTGAATCACTTCCTTCCTCTGAACCTCAGTGCCTGGTTATAAAATGGATCTAATCCAGCTCCACCTGCTCCGCACGGCTTTTTGAGGAATATTTCTGATCTATCTAGGTCTATGACTCCTTGCAGTTCCGTTAGTTTTGTTTCATGTAGTAATAAATCCTAAACATTTATTTACCTGATAACCAAGTTTCATATCGTGAATAGTCAGTGAATATTAGGTGAATAAATGTTTAGAACTGTTATGTTCCCTTGATGAACTGACCCCTATTATCATTATAAAATTTCTCTCTTTATTACTGGTACTATCCTTTGCCCTTAAACCTATTTTGTCTGATGTTACTCTAGCCACTCCATATTCCTTTTGATTAGTGTTATCATAGGGTATCTCTTCTGTTCCTTTATTTTTAACCTATTTGTGGTTTTATATTTCAAGTACACTTCTTGTAAGCAGTATATAGTCGGATATGGCTTTTATATCAGGTCTGACAACCTTTACCTTTAATATATTTAGATCATTTTTACTTAAAATTATTATTAATATGTTTGTGGTTAAATCTGTGGTGGTGCCGTTTGAGTTCTGTTATTCTGCTACTTGTTGCCTTTGCAACTCTTTTTCTGCCTTCTTTGGATTTTTTTTAATTCCATTTTATTTTGTTACTTCATTAGCTTTATTTTATGCTATATTTTTTAATTTCAGCAATTTCTTTAGGATTCACAGCATATGCTTTTAACATCATGAGTACTTTCAAGTATATGCAGATACATATGCTTTTGGATATGTATTACACGCTTTGCATATAATATAAAAAACTTGCAATCATCTACTTCCATTTTTTTCCTCCCAAACTTTGTGCTATTGTTAAATGTTTTACTTTTATGTCTATAATATGCCCACATTACATTGTTATTAACTATCAACCATATTTTAATAATATTTAAATAAGAAAGACCACATAAATTTACCTATGTAATTACCTCCTTTTCTCACTTCTTTGTGTACATTTTTGTCTCTATCTATCTGATATTATTTTCCTTCTGCTGATAGGACTTTTTTTAAAACACTTTTTGAAATGTGGACCTACTGATGATTAATTCTTCCAGCTTTTTGTTTATCTGAAAAAGTCTTTATTCAATTTCATTTTGAAATATATTTGTTGAACATAGAATTCTAGGTTGATTTTTTTCTTTTAATACTTGAAAGAAATCGTTCCACTGTCTTTATACCTTGATTGTTTTTTCAAATGAATTTGGCTGCCATACTTATCTTTATTCCCCCTTGTATAACATGTACTTTCTCTGGCTACTTTTAAGATTATTTCTCTAGCACTGAAACAAAAACTCTTGAGTAGTTTGATTATGATGTTCCTTGGTATAGTTTTTTAAATATTCTTGTGGCTAGAATTCACTGAGTATCTTGGCTCTGTGGGATATAGTTTTCATCAGATTTGGAACTTTTTCAACCACTGTTTTTACAACCTCTTTTTGGTCCTGTCTCTGTCCCTTCCTTTAGTGACTCCACTACATGTATGTTAGGCAGCTTGATATTATTCCATAGCTCACTAATGACTCCACTACATGTATGTTAGGCAGCTTGATATTTTTCCATAGCTCACTAATGACTCCACTACATGTATGTTAGGCAGCTTGATATTTTTCCACAGCTCACTAATGACTCCACTACATGTATGTTAGGCAGCTTGATATTTTTCCACAGCTCACTAATGACTCCACTACATGTATGTTAGGCAGCTTGATATTTTTCCACAGCTCACTAATGACTCCACTACATGTATGTTAGGCAGCTTGATATTTTTCCACAGCTCACTAATGACTCCACTACATGTATGTTAGGCAGCTTGATATTTTTCCACAGCTCACTAATGACTCCACTACATGTATGTTAGGCAGCTTGATATTTTTCCACAGCTCACTAATGCCCTATCAACTTTTATATTCTCTTTTCTATGCATAATTTATTAATATGTCTTTGTGAACCTCAAATAGCTGAGACAGGTCTCACTCAATTTAAGAAGTTTATTTTGCCAAAGTAAGGACAGGTGCCCATGACACCGCCTCAGGAGGTCCTGACAATATGTGCCCAAGGTGGTCCGAGCACAGCTTAATTTTGTACATTTTAGTGACACAAGAGACATCAATCAACATTTGAACATTGGTTCTGTCTGAAAAGGCAGGACAACTCGAAGTGGGGAGGGGACTTCCAGAGCATAGGTAGATAAGAGACAAATGGCTGCATTCTTTTGAGTTTCTGATTAGCCTTCCAAAGGAAGCAATCAAATATGCATTTATCTCAGTGAACAGAGGAATGACTTTGAATAGAACGGAAGGCAGGTTTGCCATAAGCAGTTCCCAGCTGGACTTTTCCCTTCAGCTTAGTAATTTGAGGGCCCCAAGATTTATTTTTCTTTCACATCTTTAAGCTCACTCATCATTTTTCCTGCAGTGTCTAGTCTGCTGCTAATGAAGTTCAGTGTCTTTTTTATCTTGTGCATTATAGTTTTATTTCAAGTTTGACTTAGGTCTTTTTGTATTGTATCTACTTAAATTTTTGAATATATACAGCTATAATACAATTACAACTGCTTCATTGCCCTTGTTTGCATAAATCTAATGTCTGTCCCAATTATGGGTCAATTTTGATTGATTTCTTTTCTATGAATTGTGTTTTCCTGGAAATTTTTATGACAGCTTCACTGAGATGTTATTCACTTTAAATTCAACAATTTGGTGGCTCTTAGTATATTCACAGGGTTATGCAACCCTTACCACTATCTAATTTTAGAATGTTTTTGTCACCCTGAAAAGAAGCTCCACACCTATTAGCAGTCATTCCTAATTTTCCTCTTCCCCTACCTTGCCCCTGACAACCACCAGTCTAATTTGTGCTGCTATCTATCTGCCTGTTCTGGACATGTTATATTAAGGGAATCATCAGTGTATGGTTTCTTTTAATTGGGTCCTTTTACTTATCATAATGTTTTCAAGATTTATCCAAGTTATAGCATTTATCAGTACTTCATTTCTTTCTAGTATCTCATAACACTCTGATGTGGCTTGGCTCCATGTCCTCACACAAATCTCATCTTTAATTATAGCTCCCATAATTCCCATGTGTTGTCGGGGAGACCTGGTGGAAGATAATTGAATCATGAGACCAGTTTCCTCTATACTGTTCTCATAGTAGTGAATAAGTCTCAGGAAATCTGATGATGATCTCATGATGATCTTTCACTTGACCTCATTCTTTCTTGCTTGACACCATGTAAGACATGGCTTTCTCCTTCTGCTGTGATTGTGAGGCCTCCCAGCCACGTGGAACTATGAGTCCATTGAACTTCTTTTTCTCTATAAATTACCCAGTCTCAAGTATGTCTTTATCAGCAATGAGAAAACAGACTAACACACACTCCATGGTATGGCTATGACATATTCTGTTTATCCAGTCATCAGTTGACAGACATGTGGGTTATCTGTATGTGGAAATAATTGTATTAGGTGTTAAACTTTGTGAACTTTACCTTTTGGAGTACTAGATGTTTCAATTTCTATAAATCTGTAAATATTGTTGACCTTCATTTTTGAATACATTTAAGTTACGTAGGAATAATTTGTTCTCTCTAAGTCTTGCTTTTAAGGAAAGACTAGAATGGTGTTCAGTCAGCTACTTATTTTCCACCTTTGTAATAAGACCCTTATGCACTATATATAATGCTCCGTGAATCTTGATGTTTTCCAGCCCAACTGGTGGTAACAGCCACTCCTTCCAGCCCTGTGTGAATGTTAGGCACCATGACCTCCAATTCTTTGAGGTGGTTCTTTCCCTGGCCTCGGGTAGTTTTCTCACATGCATCCATGGATCTGCTCAGCTGAATACCCAAGTCGGACCCTCTTCAATTTCCAGAGCTTGCCCTCTGTGTGAAGCTCTCTTTCTCCTGCTCTTCCTTGTGAACCCTAGCTTCCTTCAGGCTCTCAGCTCTGCCTCCTCAGCTTGGAAAGGATGCCAGGCTCCCAAGTCGAGGAGGCAGAGCTCTCTGTTTTATCTGAAATGCAACTTACACTACACTAAAAAATGCAAAAACTCTGCGATTGTGGGGTTTTCTTCATTTGTTTCCCTTCTTTCAGAGGGGATCTGTCATTTATTACTTGATGTACAATGCTTTCAGAACCATTATTTCATATACGGTGTGTGTTCCTCAGCTGTTTCAGGTGGGAGACTAAATCTGGTTCTTGTTACTCTGTCTCAGCCAAATACAGGAGTGCTGTGGCCTGTAACGTAAAGGGGTAAATGACTTACTGGTGGCCATCAAAGCTGCTGCAGAGAGAGATGTAGATGGTGGGTCACTTAAACGGACCTGTTACATTTTGTACCGCAGAGCGAACCTTTTAGAGGGAGTGAGTTGTACGTTTTGTTTGTTATGATGTTTAGTATGTTCATGACCATTCCTTTGGGAAGTCCGTTTTTGCCACACACTTCTTTGAATGTGGGAACATTTATGTCTCCTTTCACAGGTGATCAGCGAGTTTGAGGCCTCCCCTGACTCATTTTCCTACAGAATCCCCAACCTGAGTAGGAATCGTCAGTACAGCGTCTGGGTGGTGGCCGTAACTTCAGCTGGAAGAGGCAACAGCAGTGAAATCATCACTGTCGAGCCATTAGCAAAAGGTAGGCAGTGGCGGTATGGACTTCATTTTCTGTTGTAATGTTTTTAAGTCTCTATTTTATCTGAAATAAAACTTACACTGCCCTAAAAATCAAATAAACCAGAACATCACATTTTAGCTCAAGAAACAGGGTTGTAGCTAGCAAGCTCTGAGCTTCTGTAGCATGGGAAAGGAATCCGGTGGAGGTGAACACAGAACTGAGAAGGAGTGGCCTTACAATGGAAGTGTCTATGAAAGTGAGGAAAGGAGCCCCCCACCCTTGGAGCAGCTGAAGATTATTACATGGCATTTTCATAAGGATGTGCTACTTTCATCAAAATCAGATATCACACTTCTTAATGAGAAATGTCTGTTTTATAGTCTATGAAATTTGCAAGCTTAAAAATATGTGAAAATTATTATCTGTTGATAGAATGCTGTAAGCAAACACTTTAAGGAACAGCAGGAAGTAGGAGTCAGCAAAGAATGAAAAGTTCCTTAAAGTAAATATAACGTATTCACATTTATATGTTAGACAGTTCCTTAAAAAGCACACGCAGACACATTCTTGCTCTTCTGGTAATCACGGCCATCTGGTGTTTCAAGGAACCCCCTAAATTCGCACTCATAATAAGTCAATTCCCTTACAACAGGGTATCCAGGCCAACAGGAGATACCCCTGATTTGGGGCTATGGAACAGTGGCAACTTATTACTAATATGTCCTCTGAGAGCCTGAAAGAGAAGAATAAACACCTCAAGATTCTAATTTTAACTCCAAGAATTCTCTTGATAATGTGCTTTTTAATGAGATAGTTAAGAAAAAGGCAGAATAAAACAGTGAGGGGGGAAAAAGAGGGGTATCATGTTTTGAGCTCAAATACAGATAGAAAATAAATAAGTTGGTAAGGGAAATAAACTGGGGGACTTATTTTATGTATTGCACTCTTTGGTCATGATATCCAGTCACTCCACAAGACTGAGAAAATGATGATTACCAAGGAAAATGTTGGACATAAAGACTGAGCTATGGGATTTACAAAAAGAAAAAAGAAAAAAAACTGCAATGAAACATGTAGAATCAGCAATAATATTTCTTCATGTCCTTTGTGCTTTCAAAGGTCTATCTCTAGACACAGCCAGAAAGGCCTGGCTAGGGCAAGGAGGGCATGACTTCCTCAGTGGGGGAACAATTGAAAACTCCCATAGAAGTAGGCCTTGTCTGGGGAAATTCAATGTCCTTCAGTCATTTAAGAAGTCATTTTGAGTGTCTGTTGTATGTAAGGGACTATGCTGGGGACATGGAGGCTTTGGTCAAGGGAGGCTGACTGCTGAAACAAATGTCCCCTAAATCTCAGTGGCTCCACATAATAACATAGTCTAACTAGGATATTTTTGGTCAGGGCTCTCTTGGGTGGCCTGTTCCACATGGTAATTCAGGGATCCAGGTCTCTTCTACCTTTTAATTTACAACCCTTGGTTTCTTCATTTATAGCTACATAGATGAGGGAAGAAGGGCATATGGAGGGTTTGATGAGAGATTTTCATGAGCCAGATATGGAAGTGTATACATGATTTTACTAATATCCTATTGTCAAGAACAAAGGCATGGACCCACTAGGGAAAAGAAAGAAGGGTTTGGAGAGCCCAGAGGAGTCTAAAGATGATCTAAGAGATGTGTTCACTACCTGACCTCTTGGAGCTTACAGTTTTGTGGGGAACCAGTCAATGATATGGTTTGGCTGTCTCCTCACCCAAATCTCATCTTGGATTGTAGCTCCCATAATTCCCCCATGTCATGGGAGATACCCAATGGAGGTAATTGAGTCATGGGGGTGGGTCTTTCCCACACCGTTTTCGTGATAGTAAGTCTCATGAGACCTGATGGTTTTGTAAAGGGGAGTTCCCCTGCACATGCTCTCTTGCCTGCCACCATGTAAGATGTGCCCCGTGTTCCTCACTTTCTTTCCATCATGATTATGAGGCCTCCCCAGCTATGTAGAACTGTGAATCCATTAAACCTCTTTCCTTTATAAATTTCCCAGTCTCTGGCATGTCCTTATTAGCAGCATGAGAACAGACAAATACAGTCAGTAAACAAAGCATCACAAAAGTGTACGCATGATGGCAAATTGCAGTAAGTGGTATAAAGAAATAGCATGAAAGGACCTCACCTGCAGTGTCAGATGGAGGATGTACGTGGACCCTGAGAACAAGCTAAGGCAGTTATGTGAAGAGGGAAGGAGGGAGTAGTCAGAAGCTCCTTACAAGGAAAGATTTAGATGGGAGGTTCAGGATACTGGACCCTGCTGGGTCTGGGAAAGGAACAGTGGTCCCAGAGATGCTGGGAAGGAAGGGAGGGGCCTGATCATGCTGGGTTTTCAACACTGTGCTGGGGATTTCAGATTTGTCCCAAGAGAGAAATAAGGAGACAGTGTAGGGTTTTAAGCAAAGGAGGCACATGATCTTCGTTTGTGTGTGTGTGTGTGTGTGTGTGTGTGTGTGTGTGTGTGATAAACCTTGCTTTTGAGAACAGTTTTAGATTTACAGAAAAATTGTGATGATAGTACAGAGAGTTCCCATTTACCACACACCTAGTTTCCCTTTTTATATCCATCCTAATTAAATGGTGCCTTTCTTACAATTAATGGCAGATGTGCTTTTTAAGACCACCCTGGTCTCTCTGTCCTGAATAGACTGCAGAGAGGGAAGGGCGAGGAGAACAGGCGCCCAGCCAGGAAACTGAGGGGTCACCCAGTGAGGCTGTGAGGCTTGGACTAGCAGAATAGTGAAGAGGATTGAGAGGAGAAGCCAAGGGGCCTGAGCTGTGTTGTAGACACATAGTGGAGGGAACTCAGTGGCAGAAACGGAGGAAGGCTTAGAAGGAGATAGCAAGAATGAACGCCCAAATTCTCACGTCAGTTAGCGTAAGTGGAGGCATGATTTCTAGATGAAGAAAACCATGGAAGAAGTGGATTTTGAAGCCAGTGAGAGGAGATGTGGGCATTTGGATGGGTTCAATCCAGAGCTTTCCTCAGGGAGCCTTCTCCTCACCTTCCTTTGCACCTTCCTTTGCTGGTGCAAACCTTCAACCCAGAAATGGTGCAGGAGTCTCACATGGGTCCCATTGTTATGGGCTCCAAACAGTTCAAGACTGCCTTCCACCTGTGGTTTTCATGTCTGTGCATCTATTGAGGGTGAGCTCCCATAGGGGCACCTGTTTCCTCTATGTCCCCAGCTCTGTGACAGTGTCTGAGGTATGCTGGCTAAAACAAAGGACAGGAGAAGCCCCTGGATCCTGTTCACACTCCAGAAAGTAGTGTCCCAATGTATGGCAAAGACTGAGCAGATTGCTTTCCTCTGTAAGACTTGTGTGTGGTGTCCCTGTCAGCTTTTATGACTCACTGACGGAGGTGGCACTAGAACCTCTCACTGCTGACCACACTGGTCTTCAAGGCAAGTTTACCCTGGGCTTTTTTCTCTGTCTCCTGGGACTTCCTGCTACCTTAGGGCCACCAGCACCAAATGCCCCTGGCAGATGCTACTGTTAGGGCATCTGAATCGCTGTCCCAAGCAAACGGTTGTTCTTCAGAGAGGCCACTCTGAAAATGTCCATTCTCCTTAGTGTGTGTCCTGAAGATCAAGTTGTTATAACACACTTGGGAAATTGATAAGTAGAACTTGTTCCGGTTTTACTCCCTCCTGTCTTTGGGGCCTTTGTGTTTTGTATTGTCTACTTTCTCTGATATTAAAGTATATTTTAATGAGCAGTTTTTGTGTTGAGATAAATAGCTTCATAAAGTTCTCTGAGAAATAATTGGGCTCATAGAAAACACAGCTTGGAGCTGCTTGGCTTATGAAGCCCAAAATATTTAATTTGGACTCCTCATGTTTAGTCAATAGAAGAAAGAAAAATGCTACAATGGAAATTTTCTGCTAGTTGTGTGTTCTTACAATGAAAATTCTTCATAACCCAGGTACCAGAGAGTAGCACTGACAATTGTCACGCGAATTGGCTTCACATCAATTTTTGGGTATTGCCCTATTTGAGCAGGTCATGTTGGCCTCTGTGTAAACACACCTGCAGAGTAATCAGGCTTCAACTCTGTTTGCTTCCTCAGCTCCTGCACGAATCTTGACCTTCAGTGGGACAGTGACTACTCCATGGATGAAAGACATTGTCTTGCCTTGTAAGGCTGTCGGGGACCCTTCTCCTGCGGTCAAATGGATGAAAGACAGGTAACCAGTAACCCAATGTATGCCTTCAGTGAAACTCTAAGAGATTACATCTGACGTACTCTGGTTGGGTCTAGCGGTCTTTTGTTTATTTATTTATATTGGTGAAAACTCAAGGAAACCTACCAATTCTTCTGAGATGAAGGCAGGGAAGGAATCTCAGCCTTAGCACTGACAGGGTCTGATTTGTTGTAGCAGAGCCTTTTAATTCATGAGAGAATGCTTGCAAGGAGAACAGTTGAACCAACTCAATAATTATTGTGGAAGTTTGCTCCACCCTATCAAGTAAATTGCCTGTGTAACTGAGATGAATGTACCCAAGGTTGTTGTGTGACTTAACACCTATCTCTTCTTCTTTAAAGATAGTGAACTATCCCTAACTCAAATACCCTGAGAAATAACTTTAAGAAATGGAATACATTAGTACTTTGCTCTTTTAAAATCTGGTTCTCCATGCTTTATAGTAATTATTAAAATAATAGGAGCCAAGATAGAGGGAGTGAGATGTAGTCTATCCATATAACTTTTTAAAGTGCTTTATTTCTATTCAGGAGAAGAAATTAGGATATAAGTAAAGGGTCGAACATTTATTTATGGGCATAGAAATGTGATATAATGGATTCAGAAAAATGCCTATTTTCAAGCAAAAGCACTTAAAAGGCATAAACTGTAGACGTAATGGCATAGTATAGTGACCAAACTGTAGAAATAACGGCTTGTTTAGTGACCACTTTTCTCATGCATTTAAAGTTGGCTCATCCAAATGAAATATGTAGCTCCCAAGGTCAGGTTGGCGTTCTGCCGGTTGTGGGGATGACCCCAGAGGACTGGACAATCTGCCACGGGAGCAGTCGTTATGATAGTCACACAGTTGTTTTTATACTCGGGTAAACTCGTCACCCTCTTGAGATATCACATGTTGTTTTTCATGTCAAAATCATGAATAATTGTGACTTTAAGTGAAAATAAGAATGATCCCAAGATTTCGTTTCCTCTATACAATTTGTTCAAACTGGCACGTCTGCCTACAGAAGAAATTCCCAGAATTGCCAAAATGAAGACATCTCCAGTGCCCACAGAATGGAGTAGGGAGAGACCCATTGGTCTCTGGCATGGATTAGGAGCCCACTGACGAGCCAGAATCTGGCCCTTGACACAGATTTCATCTTCAACATAACATTTTTTACAAAGGAAAACTTCAGCTATTGATTATTTTCATTATGTAATATACCTTAGATCTTTCTTAATGCAAGAAATATGAAACTTCCAAATGCGTTCTTTGCTTCACAGAGTCTTTATGCTTTTCCCCAACCTCAGCTAATTTGGATTGTAATTTCTTTAATCTGTGCATTTTTCTTCCTGTGAGGCAGTAACGGGACACCCAGTCTAGTAACGATTGATGGGCGGAGGAGCGTCTTTAGCAACGGAAGCTTCATTATTCGCACGGTGAAAGCAGAAGACTCTGGCTATTACAGCTGCATCGCCAATAACAACTGGGGATCCGATGAAATTATTTTAAACTTACAAGTACAAGGTACAAAATTTGGGGGCTCTTTTTAATGCGATCTTTTACATGTATGCTTTGTATGCAAAGAGTAACATTGAAGAAATTTTAAAAGCAGCCCTTGTAAAGAGCTAACTTCTGATTTATATTACAGAAAAAAACAACATGTTTATTTTGCAAAATATAATTAAACAAAGAAAATAAAGCATTCACAACCTCAGAAATAATATCAAGATACAAAACATCTTTGCATACAAAATGCTTAGTTTCTTTTTTCTTTACGCGTGCATGTCTGAAAAAAGTCCTTCTTCATAACTTCCATTAATTGCAGTGTTTACTCTACATATGTGTAAGTGTATCCCAGAAAACACAAACAAAAAACAGGACTGAATTGTGGTCTTTTATGTATGCTAATTAACTCAATTTTTATATGCAATGTATGTAAAAAATGCCAGTAACTGGAGCTCTAAGTAGGTTGCTATAATATTCAGCTATGTATTTAATGCTAAGTATTTTTCTTGATATCATACACAAAAATGTGTGCAATTTTAAAAGGTTGTTATATTAAAATTGCATGTAAGTCCCAATCAATAACTGATTGAGTTCAGATTTGTACGCTCAGCAATATTTTATTAGTAGAAAAAAACAAAGTGTGTGCCTCTTTGGATTTAGGTTGTCACGTTAATAGATTACAGCAAGTAAAAATCAAATCAATACTGTTCTCAGTGGGATGAAAGGAAAGGAGAAGAACTATATTTCTTAAAATACTGCAAAATTGATCTTGAATTTCAAGTTAATTGAAGTCAGGAGAGTTCCAGGGCATTTTGGAAGACAGGTACTCTATTATGACTCTAAAGAGATAGGCCAATATATCAGGTTTCTCTCAGAGGAAAAGAGAAGGAAATTTTAGACAAAGCTTTCTATATAATTTGGATAACCTGATTCTGAATTTCGTTAGTGTTTCTGTCACAGGACCCACCCAGACTTATGTAGCAGTATATACTCTGCAATTGTTGGATGAGGGGCCAGTTCATGTTCTGCAGTTCAATGACCTGCTTTTGATTTTCAGAGGGGTGTGTGTGTGTGCTGCATCTTGGAGGAATCGCTTAGAAAGTGAAGACTTCTGCAGTTCTTTTTCCCACTAGCTACTTCTCCTTCTCCTCCTTCCCCTTTTCCATCCTGAGAAAACAGAACTGCTAAGTGGATGCCATTTATCCTTTTCATTTAAATTTCATGGCTGAAATTCATAGTGAAATGATCCATGTATCCTTAGTAAGTTTACAGAAGATTGCAATTAGTGATGAATAACTCAGACAGTCAAGGAACTGGTAAGGAAATAAGTGAGATATGAATCCAAGTAGCAATGTGACTGAATTTTTTTTAAATAATATTCACTCCTTTCTATCTCTTTAGCCCAGGATATCAACTAAATAGACATTTTGACAGAAGTGAATTGCATATTTTGGCAATCTAAAACACTTCTTTAATAAATGGCTGTTAAAAATGAGTTGGTAAATGACTGTTCAGGAAAATTAAAGATGTGAAAAACTCATTCTTGTTTTCTGTCACCCGTTTCCTCTCTAGTTCCGCCAGATCAGCCTCGCCTGACAGTCTCCAAGACCACGTCTTCCTCCATTACCCTTTCTTGGCTCCCTGGAGACAACGGAGGCAGCTCTATCAGGGGTAAGAAGATATAAACCGTCCACAGTAGTTTATTAGTCGTGTGATCCACATGCCAATAAGTGGCATGTCTTCAGCAAATGACTGCTATGTGTTAGTTTATTCTCCCCCAAAAAATATATCACATAAAAATTAAAAATATATATATCACATAAACGATCCCTCCGTTACCTGAGAAGTCAACCGTACTTCTATTTTTAGCATATTTGCTGAAATTCAAACCATTCATCCGAGGATGCTCATTCAAAGAGTGAAATATCAGCAATGCAAGAAAGAAAGAAAAAAATTGAATATCTCTTGTTTTGAGATTCTACACACTGTTTATTTTCTGTTTTGTCAACACAATGTCATTCATTTACGTCCCATGGGTACTGTTCTCACTTAGAAAGTAATAAAAGACAGAGGACCTCGAGTGTAGATGTAAAGCAATCTATTTGCACAAAGCCTTTGCAATCAGTTTAGAGTTGAGGTGTATGAACAAGGTTTTTTGGTTTTGTTTTGTTTTGTTTTAAATGGAGTCTGGCTTTGTCACCCAGGCTAAAGTGCAATGGTGCCATCTTGGCCACTGCAACCTCCATCTCCCAGGTTCAAGCGATTCTTCTGACTCAACCTTCCCGGTAGCTGGTATTACAGATGCACACCACTGCGCCTGGCTAATTTTTATATTTTTAGTAGAGACGGTTTCACCATGTTGGCCAGGCTGGTCTCAAACTCCTGACCTCAGGTCCTCCGCCCACCCCAGCCTCCCAAAGTGCCGGGATTACAGGCATGAACCACCACACGCAGCCTAAATGAAGTTTACATGGAAGGAGTGAACATGGTCGTTCTAGTGTAAGTGGAGTTAAGCTAGAGACAGAAGATATACAGGAAAGGGGGCCTGAGCCATAAAGAAGGTCCTAGGGCTGGGGAGAGGGAATAAGGGCTTAGACTTCCTAAGGCAGAGAACATCTTTTCTTCTGAGAGAGAAGAAAGGCTGAGAAGGAAACTGGAAGTCAGGAGCATTTCAGAGTGACATTAGTGCTGTGCTGGGGTAGCTCTTTGAGCTCCCTGGAGCGAGGCACCCATCCCTTCCCAGCTTTGCACTCAGTGGCCACTAAGAACATTCCCTCACCATGGAAATCAGAAATTCTACAAACAGGGGCCATTTCTCTCCTCTCCAAGGAACTAGTTGTTAAACATTTATAAGCACTCCAATGGGTGAAGGGAGGATCTTTCTTTTTTTTTCTTTTTCTTATGAAAGAAAAAGTGAGGTGATTTTTTTTAAATAATGGAATCATTGGGGGGGGTGATGATGTTCCTGTGGATTTGAAGAGCATGGGATAGATTTGTAACAGTTGCCTTGTGAAATCCACAGGGAGTCATTAATAGATGAACAAAGTCATTGCCAAGACGCTGCAAGGACCCAGCTGCAGATGCACAGCACAGATTGTAGGAGTCACAATTAACACATTTAATGACTTTCTTAAATGATGCTGGACAGCTGGGAAGAAAAGTGGATCACAGATTACCAGTAACATAAGCATGGCCAGAAGTCTGAAGAGTGGGAGAAACTGGGCTCCTTGTTGAAATGCCCTACCAAAGGTTCCAGGCTGACTAGAGAACCTTCGTACAGGAAAAAAATGGGGCACATAGGAAAGGACTCAAGGGACCCTACACTTTAGGCTCAAATGAAGTGGGGCTTGGATTCTGCCTATGTGAGAGCATGGGAAAGGTAGAACAAGAATCGCGTCAGAGCTCAGGGTCTTTGGGATGAAGCCGGTTTTAGTGAGGGAGAGTTTCCAAGACAAAGATAACCCAGCATCCCTGAAACACAGTAGTGGCCAGAGCCATTGCCATCATCAGGAGGTGCTGTAAGTTGTGTGCCCACACTGATGGACACTGATATACTGAGGATGGTAGCAGGAGACAGGGAACTATGTAGACCTATCACCAAGGATTAGAGGAGTGTTTTGTGGTGGCTTCGAGGGTGGAAAGGGGAGGAAAGTGAATACCTACAATGTGTAGGGTGGCTAGAGTACAGGCTGGGATGTGGCTGGGAGCAGGTGCACAGGTATCACTTGTCAGGTACCGAAGTAGCTTTGCAGAGCTCAGATGAGGAACACAAAGGCTCAGGAAGGAGAAGGGACACTATGGCCCGTGAGGAGGGAAGGCTGAAAAGAGTTGGGAAAATACCAACCATGACTTCAGAAGGAGGCATCAGAGATGAGTGATTGCCATGTGAGGGGTGTGGAAATCAGCAGACCTGCCTGTTTGAGGTTAGGACACATTTTAGTGCAGAGGACAAGAAATGCTTTATTTGTATTAAAATGGAGCTCCACAGGGCAGGAATAGAAGGTACCAACCCATTGGGGCAAAGACACTATGTTCCAGGCTGGCTAGTCAGAGCAGAGAAGGAACATGTCTGCAGGTAACAGGAATGAAGGAGCTAATGGGAGGAATATTTCGGCATCCACGGGGTGAAGAGCCTGGGCTTCAGGCTGACCATGGGGTCCGAGTCCTCCTTTCAGCACTCGGGACTCACCACTTGGCTGCTCTAGACCTCAGTGTGGTCATGTGTTCTGAGATAGAGTCATCGCTGTTCCATGGGGTTGCAGAAATGATGTAAGCAAAGGGCTTAGGACAGGACTTGGCATGGAATGAGTGCTCAAGAGTGGACAGTCATCGTTAGTAGCTGTAAAGGTAGAGGTCGTGGTCCTGTGGGGGAATGAACTGTTGGAGGAATTTTTCAAACTAAAGAGAAGCCAGGTTACTGTCAGAATATTGGGATGGCTGCAAGGCTTAGAGCCGGTTCTCCTAGTGTCTGTGGATGTGAGACCAGGAGTACATGAGGAGTGGAGCAGTTGAGGAAATCTCTGCTCCTCTCTCCCAGAGATTCAGGTCTCACAGAAATAACTCAGCTTCAGCCTATGTCTGCACCCAAGGATTCAGGCACGTATGGTCTGAGGGGCAGCTATTTAGCGACTTAGTATTCCCTGCTGCCCTATGGCTATTAGAAGAGAAGGAGCATAAAAGTGGTTTAATTTTGACCACACTATCCAGAAATACCTCCCGGGGATAACGTCTGGTGTGGCCCAAATGAGTCACTGATCAATACGTCATGGTGCTTCTCCCAGGCTGCGTTAAATTTCCTGGAATCAGAAAGAGTGAAAATATTCCCTCTGAAGATTCTTCAGTTCTGAGAATGTTCATTCTGTGCCCGATACAAAATGCAAACGTCAGTCCACTTCCCATGGAAAGCGAACAGTGCTCGTGTGAATCTTTCTCATTCCCTGCAGGGTACATCCTACAGTATTCTGAAGACAACAGCGAGCAATGGGGGAGCTTTCCGATCAGCCCCAGCGAGCGCTCCTACCGCTTGGAAAATCTGAAATGTGGGACTTGGTATAAGTTCACACTTACAGCCCAAAATGGAGTGGGTCCAGGGCGCATAAGTGAAATCATAGAAGCAAAGACCTTAGGAAAAGGTAGGTATGCCTTCTCGTCACTTCTAAATGTCCTGTTTTCCCGGCTGGTAGGGGAGAGTGGAATCATAAAAGATCCGTCATATTTTATGTTTATGTGTCTGAACTTTGTCACTCCTCAAATGGCCTTAGCAGTGTTACAGCACAATGAGAGGATGGCTGGACATTACAGAGCGTTCTGGTCCTCTCTTTGGTTTCATTTGCGGTTAAAAAGAAGAATGTCATTTAAAAATCAAGGGCATTGGTGTCAACCAACGTAAGGTGCCAAGGCTGGGCACCCATGAAGCATGACCCTTGCCTTCTCAGACGTTTTGAGGTGCCCTTCCCCCAGCCCAGACCCCCATCTTCCTATGATTTTCATACTGCCACATAGCCCCCTCTTTCCAAAGGGAAAACGATGGGGTAAATTGTTAACATTTCAATATGAGTTGCATTTTTTAATCTAAAATGACTGCATTTTAGATTAAAATGAAAGTCTCCATGTGGACTTTCAAGGAGATGAACCCCAAACAAATGATATTCAGAGAAAAAGGTTTTGTCCCAGAAACTCCAGAAAGAAGGAGGGATCATGCAGGTCTGTGTGAGTGTAGGAACGTAAGGAGACGTCTCCGAAGGTTTCCCTGCCATGGGCGTCCTGTGAGTCAGCTGTGGTCAGACGGCAGGAGAGCGAGTGATGAGATAGCACGGGTATTATTTGTGCTCGGTGCCAGAGTTTCAGGTATCAAGTGGTAAGAAGTTAAGTGATCTGGGATTGATTTATGCAGAAATATATGCATTAGGTCCCTGAGCTCCAAGACCAAGTGTCTGGATGTGGAGGAAAATCTGTTGGTCCTTCCCAAACCCAACTCTGTCTTCTCTGGAGTCAGGTTCACCACACGAGGGTGGAAAAAGGTCAACCCAGCACACTGCAGTGCAAAGCACAGAAGAAAACCCACACGTGAACATCACTTTGTTCTTTAGGAAACTCTAAGATATACCAAAATAACCCCTGCCCATGCAACAGGCCCAAGCCTGTTGGTCCATAAAGTCTATTAATAGGGGGCAAGTTGCCAGTGGCCTGTGAGCCAGACTTGGACTGAGCACCTGACCTCACTGGATGAAGCAGTCCGAGGGAAATGCATGAAGATGCTGATGGCCTCCCCATGTGTCCCGTGAGCTGACCTCCATGTGCCTTCTCCCGCAGAGCCCCAGTTCTCAAAGGAGCAGGAGCTGTTTGCCAGCATCAACACCACGCGCGTGAGGCTGAACCTCATCGGCTGGAATGACGGTGGCTGCCCCATCACCTCCTTCACACTGGAGTACAGGCCCTTTGGGACCACGGTGTGGACCACAGCTCAGAGGACCTCTCTCTCCAAGTCCTACATCCTGTATGACTTGCAGGAAGCCACGTGGTATGAGCTGCAGATGCGGGTGTGCAACAGCGCCGGCTGTGCAGAGAAGCAGGCCAACTTCGCCACGCTGAACTACGACGGCAGTAAGCTGGCTGGCTTCGTGGCTCTCCCGTCTGTGTCTTGGGGGATGTGCATGTGTGCCCTGCCCCTCTCCCATCGAACATCATCTGCCATAGTGTGATCAGTGCCCATGGAGCCTATTAGGCTTTGGAGATCCAGTGGACTCTGACTGGGGCTCCCTAGTACATTATATCCAGATGACCATTACTGTGACCAGAAATAAGAGACTCAAGGCCATAGGGAGTCTCACTGGGAAGTCCTGGGGCAGGAGTGATTTCTCTTAGGGCTGAAGGACTCTTGACCACGTGGTTCTGTGCTTGTGTTGATGTCTGTGAGCTAACATTGCTTTTGTTGTCTCCCACCCCTTTCCCCACCTCATCCCAATCCATATAACAAGTTTCTTTTTTGCACTCATTACACCCTTAAACTGCATATGTTTAAACAATTTTCCATGGTAAAGGAGCTTATGTTAGTCTCTGAGCAGGAGTAGGGCCACTGATGGAAACAGGATAATAACAGAAATCCATGAACATGTGCACACACACATACTCACACACACTTGCAGCTGGCATTCACTTTCCAAAAACTAGGTGAGGTGTCTCTTGACATTAGTCAACCAAAAATAAATCGTTGAAAATCTTACTCGTTTTTCTGGGCTCAAGGGCCATGTACTGCTAACTGAACAAATGCTAAGCCCAACGAAGCTGAAAGGGAGGGAGTGTGTTCTTGGCTGCAGCGTAGGAGGGAAATTTAGATAGTCCCAGTAGCAGCACATTGATGCTGCTTTCTCACTAGGGGAACAGCAAGGATTGAGTTAGGTGCTCTAATTGCCTGATAAAAGCAGCAGCAATTCATCAGGATGGATTGGAGCGCCAGTGTAACTCTCCTGGGAGCCTTCTGTTTGCTTCCTGTTAGTCAGACTAGACCACAGTATTTAATGAGTTAACCAAGAAACACCCAAACCCTTTATCACAGTGAGCCAAGCCAAGACCAAGTTGGAAGTGCTCCTCTGCCTATGCGTGGTGATGCTTTGTGAGGAGACACATTTCAGTGAAGGTCACTCATAACCGAGAGCTGTAAAATTACACAGAGGCAGCCCATGAAAAGCATCAGCCCTTGAAAAAAAGATTGATCTCCGGGAGAGTGATTCTTCCTCTGCTTTGTGCATTTGGGAGGCCCCTTTATTAAAGCTCCAGCAGGCATCTCCTCAGAGCTTAAGCCATGCTAGAGGAATGGCCGTGAGCCTAAGGACCCACAGAAATGACCACAAGGAGCTAATGAGGTGACGTTGCCTGGGGTTTTCATCTGGCCAATTTCTCTTCTAATATCCAAATAACCAACAACTAACTCTTCCCACTTTGAGGCACACAGAGTAGACCTACCCCAAATCTCCTGTCCCAGGTCATTTTTCCATGACATCCTCCTCTGCCAGAGCCCAGGCTCTTCCTGGTACTCTGGCCTGGGTCCCTGGGCTATAGGAAGACCCTAAGCAGAAAGCTCTTCCAGGGCTGGTTACATCAGCTGGGGTCCCTGGCTTCTGCAGGGGCTCTGTCCTGTGGCCCTAGAATAGCCTATGCCCTCCCAGACAACAACTTTTCTCTTCAAGGGCCAATGCTTTTCATGGGCTGCCTCTCTCTCATTTTATAGCGCTCACTCTTGAGCGACTTCTTCAGAGGTGTCCCCGTGACCGAACCTCACCCACAGGCAGAGGAGCACTTCCAAGTGGCCCTCCCTGTAATGTGGTTGAATTATTTGATCTTACAAAGGAAAGAACTTTGATGCTTACCAGACACTTTACTTAGCATTGAAGGGTGCACCAAAATCGTGTCAACCTGCACATATTTGAGTAGTAAGCATCTTTCTTACTTTACATCATTGCCTTGCAATGTCACACTCTGGTCCCCAGCTTCTCTATAATATGCGCACATGCCCAGGCACTCAGCTTAAATGTGCACATGGATTATATGCTCACAGCTAATGATTTAATTAGAAACTACTCATGTATAGAATTGGAAACTGTGATTCTAATTCACGGAGTGCTTTGCGGATTTTAAATGTTTGCCTTGTAAGAAAACATAATTTTCTCACTTTATCCAAGATCCCAAATTTTGAAAAATCCCGTAAGCTACATTTACATTTTGGAAGTATGAAATGACTATTACACTAAGAAATAAGAATTCATATTTATGTATTCCTTGTAAGAAATTACAGATTTCTTTGGACCAATCTCATGAAAAGATAGCTTTAATATCTCTATTGTCACATCGGCCTGAAGAACTTTTTCATCTTGGGAAAACCAAGCATTCACAGCCTGCATTCACAACACTCAGGGTACAGAGTCCTCCGTGTCTCGATCTCACTCTTTCTTCTGCAATTTCCTTGGCCAAATGTTTCCGTTTGTCCTTGTGTTGTCTTGGCTTTCAGACCCATCCTCATGGGCATCCCGTAAGTGCCTCCTCCCTGAATTTCGGAGCATTCTGAGGCTTCGGTTTCCACAAAAACACTTTAAAGTGGGAAGAACATTCCTCTTAGCTTTAGCAGAGATCACAGAGGAACGGGGATTCTGTTATCCCTGCTCTACTTACTAAATGCGGGATAAAGACCATTTTGCTCAGGGGAAAATTGTATTTGTTTTGCATTCTTTTTTCCTGAAGTGCTGACTTTCTGGCCCTTGTTGTACATGGAAAGTGCAGCAGGGTGGAGCATCTTCTATAATGGAGGGTAGCAAAATACATGCCCCATCAAAAGTGGATGCCTGCATTTTGATCTCTATACCCATTGTACTCAGCATCTGGTTAGAAGGCAGCTTAAGAGAGCTCAGAGTTCACTTCCTTCAGTGTTTCCTTATAACTCAAAATAATCTGAATTTTGTAGCACTATTTAACAATGCCTGGTCAAAAGTAGGCTCCTTTAAAAACCTAGATGGGTCCCCTTGAAAAATTGTCTGTAGCTCTTGGACCCTCAGATGGGGGCTGTTGAAGCAGATGTGGTCTTACACCTGTGTTAAAGTAAGCAATTAACCTAATAACAAGCGATTTGAGTCTCCTCAGGCAGGTGTATGTCGTACCCTCTCCCCGCACATGCTCTTCTGTCCGTTTGCCCAACATGTTGATGTGTAGCTTTTTCAAATCGTCTCTATCAATTGTCCTGTGGGTGATAGTCAAGGGAACATTTAGTTCTGGGTAAATGCCTGTGGCTTTTGTCAGCCCCGAACCTGGCCTCATGCTTTCAAGTGCCTGCGCTCAGCAGTGCTTCACAAAATGAAGCCCTTTTCAAACGTGTGCTATACAGCAAGTAGGAAGTTCAGGCAGAGGGAGGGAAATAATCAAGAAAATAAGATAGCCGGGACCTAGAGAAAGAATTCTTTTCATTTCTCATCACCTCCGACACCCTTGGATCACACAGCGCGATATTTATAACCTGTCATCCCTAAAAGCTCCGCCATGCCGTCTTCATTAATAGCCATCTAACACCGTGGCCCTGCTTTCAGGTACAATTCCTCCACTCATTAAGTCAGTTGTCCAAAGTGAAGAAGGGCTGACGACCAACGAGGGGCTCAAGATGCTGGTGACCATCTCCTGTATCCTGGTGGGAGTTTTGCTGCTGTTCGTGCTCCTGCTGGTTGTACGGAGGAGGCGGCGGGAGCAGAGGCTGAAGAGGCTGCGAGGTAGGTCCAGGCCCGGCTGTCCACCCCTGTGTGTCCCCTGCTGCTCTGCGGCCACCCGGGGAGAGGCCAGCTGGAGAACAAACCCCAAAGGGGAGTGATTCTTCCCTCTCTGACCCAGGTTCCCCCACTTCCTGGTTCTCTGATATTCCTGCAGAGCCTCAGGGAAGAACAATAAGAATGCTCCTATCTTGGTCAGAAATCAGGTGAAAGCCAAACTCCTGCTCGTCCCCTAAATCCCAGCTGTTGGTAGTCAAGGAAAATTAATTCTTTAACTCTAGTGACTTTAATTTTCAGTGGGTCCAGTAAAGCCACCAATCAGAACGTTCTAAGAAAAGATCTATCAGATTTACTCTGGGAATGAGAATTATTTGACTGACTGGAAGTGGAAATTGAGGGCTTAGGGTACTGATAAAGCGTTATGAGGCAGACAACACATGCCATCCCAAATTAGAAATAGGAACTGAAGCCCGGTATAAGAGTTTCACTCTAATGAAGCAAAAACATAATGAAGGCTGGGGAAGCCAGGCCAGATGAGCACCATTGTGAACAGTCACCATGATTATCACGTCCGGCTCCGTGTCGTTCTGTGTGATGAGGCTGTTCCCAGCTTCTGGCCAAGAGCCCTTACTTGCCCTTGCTCTGCAATGTGAGGACGAGGAGTTATTTCAAATGCGAAACTGTGCAGAAGTGTTCTGAGGTCCTTTGCCCTTTACCGGTGAGGGTGTTCAACCAAGCCACCTTTTCGGTAAAGGGTATTATAGGGTCTTTTCATTTTAATATTAGTGCAGTGTGGGCTACTGCTATGCAGCATCCTATGGATGCTTCAAAGCTACGTTCATAAAACAAATCTAGAAGCACTGTCTCCCCAAAACATATCCCAAACTTTGCTAATATATTTAGAAAACATTGACCTCTTCTGTAAATACTTAATTTAACCATAATCCAGTTAAAGCAGAGAACACGGTAATATTTTCACCTGTCTTCACTTATCCAAAGCACCCCTTTTTATGGAATTCTAGTACCTTTTACTATCAATTGGTTTTTCCTCTGCCAACAAATTACAATTCTGAAGTACATTGTACTTCATCTGTACAATTAAAAATCCTTCCATGAAAATCTCCTGCAGCCCAATAATTCAGGTAAACCATCAGTCTCCTGGAAATGTTCTTTCTCATCCATGCTAACCAATTACCTTTTAACTTTGCGGCCATTACTTGAGTAAATGCTAGGTGCTTAATAAACAACGATGAAAAGAGCTTTCCGAACTCTAGGTTTAGGGTAGGAGGTGGGCCCAGAAGCAGCTAGCAGTAAAAGAACAGAACATGTCATGAATGCAGAAATAGGGCTTCAAAGAAAGCCTACATAAGTGAAAACGAAGGATGGATTAATCCCAAGCGAAGGGGAAAAGGGAGGTTTCTTCAGTGCTAAGTAAAATAGAACTACCAGCGTAGAACACAGCTCATTATGGTGAGAAGTTCCATACAATGTGGACCGTGTTGAATTCCATTCAACTCAGGAGTGTTCATCACTAAAATACAAAAAGGATATTTTCATAACCCTTGTTCACAGTGGCCTGGACTTTAGGGTGATTGTTATGGCCTGGACTTTAGGACAGGGTGTCTGTCCTTGTTACCATTAGACAACTATGTCTAACTACTTACATTTAGAAGGCTACACGTTGTCTCTATGACGTGTCTTAAAACCAATAGCAAATGTTTCTTATCAATGATTTCCATTTAATCACAAGAGTTAGGTATCTAGGCAATGCTGCTCATCAGTCTACACCCTCCACTAAATTCACCTTTTATTCTTTTTCCTGGCTCCTATTGCTATCTGTCCTTCCCAGCTCTTGTTTGATTTCTCCTATTCACCTTCGAACCTGAGCACCTCAACTGTGCTTTTCCTTGTCACCGAGAGCACTTCCAGTTAAACGTGCCGTGGACTCTTACCGAGGCCTTTGGGTTGAAATGATGACCTGTACATCCCGTATTTGTATTCTTAGCCGTTCCTTCTAACTTAATTATCGCTGCACAAGCGCTGTCTCCAGAAAACATCCTGGGGCTGGCATTTCTATTGTTGGCGTCTCGACTTCTAGACACTAGTGTTCTGCAGTTGGACTTGGCAAAGAAAGCAGTACCTCACCTCAGAGGGCCTTTTATTCCCCGGAAACAGTTTTGTTTTCTTTGTTCTGGGGAAAAGATAAATGCAAAGCAAAAGTTCCAGTAGGAAGAAAATAAGGGCCGGGGCAAAGAGGAAGTAATCCTCAGAGATGTCACGGAGCAGAGGGTTTCAGAAAAGCAGCTTGCAGTAGCACAAAGGTGTCTGCAGTTCTGCATTTTGTACATGGTTCATAATGGCTTCTACAATCAAGAATCTGACAAGAAGACAGTCAGGATGCCAAGAATTGGGTACCCAATTCCATGCCACTTTGGAATGGCAAGTTTTAAGGTGGACATACTGCGATATATTCAGTTCGACAAACCACTGTAGATTATCTACCAGGTGCAAGATGGAACCTTTTTTTTTAAACTAGTGGTAACATTTGCTTGGTGACCATTTCTGTTTCATCACAAGAGTTTGCTAGGTCCTAGAAAAAGAAGAGATTTCTAAGACTCTGAGAACTAACAAAGGGGACACTGTAGTGGCAGTGGGTCAAGGCTTGCCAGGGGCAGACCCATGTCCATAACTGTACAAAACACTGCCCTAGAAGGACGGACTCAGAGGTGAGGGTTGTAAAGGGGAATCCATGAAACGTCCTTGCCCCAGAAAGATCTTTGTTTTTTAGCCCTGCAGGGCCCTGACATGTTCAGTAATAATACAAAGTATTTTCAACTCACTCATGAAGGGCAAATGCAGCCACAGTTTAAAGGAATAGGTGCCTATCTATTGAATATCCAGAGTGCATTGTGAAATCACCCAATTACAAGCCAACCCACATAAGGTACAGACTCGGGTACCTGTGGGAAAACAAGTTTAAATATATTTACAGATGCTACAGACAGAGTATTTTAATTGTCCCAAGTAAGGACAACATTTCTAGTAACATGTCAGCGTTTTGCCTGAGTAATCATCTATCAGGATTAAAAATGGAAATAAGGAGATTTGAATTACAGAGAAATATTACAGGGATCCCCAGTGGATGTTTTTAGAGTGATTATGTGAGATCAATTTCATATGGTTGAAATTGATCACATTTTTCAATTGCTAGAAACTATAAAAATGTTTATAAGCTGAGTGTGTTTCACTGTATAGACAAGTAACCTAGTTAGATGAATATAATATAATGTTATTTGACATAAAATTTTAGAAAGAAAAAAGAAAATGGGACTCTAGCAGTGTAGTCAACCTATATTCTCTCTTCCTGAGTGCTTTACTAATTTTAGAGCATAGCAACCTCCTAAACTCTAAATTGCCTGCAAGGGCCCACATTTTTTTTTTAAATCTATAACCTTATCCAGGAGTTCAGAAGCTGCATTTTGCTTTTAATGGTGCCCTGGTTTTTCTTCAACTTCTAGATGCTTTGAAGTGGAATGGTATAGAGTGAGTCACTGATTGGGCCTGATATCCCAGCAGCCCCAGCCTTTTAAAATGTGATCCCATGTCAAGTAATCAACTACAAGATTTCTAAAAGCCTCCTCCTTTGGCACGCATTTATGCAAGAAGGCACAAGCTTCTGTTGGCACCAGTTAGCGTGGGTCAGCCTGCAGGACTTCAAATAAGCTAAATCGGTGATGTCCCACTGATTTTTATCTTTAGCTTATTTGAAGTCCTGCAGGTTGGACCACGAACATTTGACATGCTTCTGTGGCAAAATGTCTTGCTTCCCTTGAATGGAAATGTGTTTATTATTTTAAGCATGCTTTGAAATGGATTGTTACAAAACTGATCAATTTCAGAAGCCCATTCCTAGAGAGGTTCTGGGTTCATGGTGCTAAGCAGGCAGATTAAGGGGTAGGTTATGAGGATTCACTGTTATTTTCTGAGTTCTAACAGGACATTTATCTGCTCTGCAAATGAGCCCGAAGCTCCCCTCATTTGGAAAACCAAAAGGTAATTTGAACTTTACTAATGTAAAGCAGGAGTGTGCATCTAGGAGCCCAGTGACACTTAGACCTGAGATAGACGCAATGTGAATTAAGATGCCCTACACTAATGCGTAAAGCCCTCCTAAATATGGGAAGCCCACATTGCTAATGAATAAGTAGCACACATGCACCCTTTCATTGCCAAGCTAATAAACGCCCAAACAGTGGTTCGGATGGCATTAGAAGCCTGTACTCTGAAACCTTTAGTTCTGTGCCTTGTCTTTTCTTCTTTCTCTTTCCTTCTTTCTTTCTTTTTTCTTTTTTTCTTTCCTTTTCTTTTATTCCTTCTCTTTCTTCCTTTCTTTCTCGTTCTCTTTCTCTTTCTTTCTTTCTTTCTTCTTCCCCTTCCCCTTTCCTTCCCTCTCTTCGTCCTTCCTTCCTTCCTTTCCCTTTCTCCTTTGTTCTCTCTCCTTATCTCTCCTGTCTTTCTCTCTTTCCTTCTTTCTTTCTTTCTCTTCTTCCTTCTTCTCTTTCTTCCTTCCTCTCTCTTTCTCTTTCTTTCTGTCTTCTTCCCCTTCCCCTCCCTCCCTCCCTCCTTCCCTCCTCCCTCCCTTCCTTCCTTCCCCTTTCTTTCTCCTTTTTTCTCTCTCTCTTTATCTCTTCTCCTGTCTTTCTTTCTGCCTTGATTTCTTAATGAAATTATTCTTTTAAAAACATCAAACTTGTTATGTCGAAACTAAATAGAAAAAGCTCTCTTGCATCTGAGAGTGGGAAGCAGAAGAGCACTGGGGTGAGGGCTAGTTGAGCACTGCCAGTGGAGGGGGGCCAGGGAGTGGGCAGTGAGGAGGGGCTTGTGGGTCTCAGCCGGGCCCTGGGCGTTCTATTTTGTCTATGTCTGTGCATGCAGTTTTCTGAGATTACTAGTATATATGGCCTTCTTTTTTAAATATATGTCTGCCACAGTTTTCAAATCAG